AAGACAAGGTCGTGAAGCTACCGCGCAGCCGGACACTCATTGCAAGAAGTTAAAGCGAAGGACAGGTCGACCCTTCACCAGCACTGCCGCAACAATTAAGGGCTTAAGGGTGAGTTTACGAGGTATTCTACATTACAATAATAGTGAACATAATAATTATAATTATAAAAATAAATCAATATGAAAATGTGAGAAACTTAATTTGTGACAAATAAAATAATAATAAAAAATAGATTCACTCTCAATTTGAGAGTTAATAATAAACTCCTTGAGTTTTCTTTTAAAACTAAATGTGCTTTGTAGGTTCCTGATTGGCGGAGATATGTTGGTCCAGCACTTAGAAGCTGCATATCGGAAACTACCCCGAAAAGCAGCCGATTTGTGTGGCACACCGCCTGCTGCAGGTGAGGGTTCACCCACGAGAGCTTCAAGTAAAGGTATGCTGGACACTTGCACTTAATCACACCAAAGAGGAGATATACCAGGTACCAGGTGGAGCTTACGTCGAGACTTCATTTTTAGAAGATTGTAATTGTTTAAATAAGGTGTCATGTGGCCTAGTGCCGCCTAGGAAGGTGGAATATTTAAAACAAAAACGCGCGCATAATGCGCCTTTAACCTCATATTCAATTTGTTTTAAAAATTTAATCATCATTACCTACTATCATCATTAGTCCGGTTTCGCCCACTGCTAGCAGAGCAACAATAATCCTCATTCCAGAAATAATACGTGTAATGGTTTCCAATCGTCATTCACTCTGCGACGGATAGAAATTTTGGAAAAAGTATCGATACAAATCATCACTATCACTACATAGTATAAAACAAATTCGCTATCCGCCGTCAGTCTGTCCCTATGTATGCTTAGATCTTTAAAACTACGCAACGGATTTTGATGCGGTTTTTTTTAATCGATAGAGTGATTCTTAAGGAAGGTTTATATGTAGGTATAACACATGCATATTACACCCGTGCGAAGCCGGGACGGGTTGCTAGTCACTACATAGTATAAAACAAAGTCGCTATCCGCCGCCTGTCTGTCCCTATGTATGCTTAGATCTTTAAAACTACGCAACGGATTTTGATGCGGTTATTTTTAGTAGATAGAGTGATTTTTAAGAAAGATCCGACGCCGGGACGGGTCGCTAGTTATAGATAATTACGTCAATACCTCGTCGCAGTTTCGCACTCTTTGTCCCGCCGACCTCGTGGCGACTGCCCCTAACATTCCTGTTTGCCCAGCACTCACTGCTACACTAATACATACTACAACTATGTGCCTCTGCTCCGCTCCAAATCTAGAATATTTGTCTAGTAGGAATGTTCTGCAGTATTATAAACGACTGTTCTAGACCTTGAAGTTTCAAAAATAATGTAGTTTGTTTTTATAAGTATAGGTGTAGAAATTTGGTATGAAGGTAATTTGAGTCCTGGAAAAGCAAGGCTTCACCGCGGCAGAACTTCTCATTCCCATGGAAAAATTTAAAAAGCGCAATATAACTGAATTCCCTTCTCCCTTCTCCAAATCTTCAGCAAACACGAATTCTCGTAATGCGCGGCAACAAGCTCGGTTCCTTATAACTTATATAACGCTTTTAAACTATGAGTTTTGTATTGTGCACCTAATGAATGTGCAACAGAACCTACAGAATTTCTACAAAATCTAAATCAGTTCAATTCAATAGCGCTTGCACTAGCAGTAGGTACCTTTGCAGCGTATCTTCCACGCCATTGGTTTCCTGCAGCCGCGTGGTATGCTACCTATAAATTACTAGCCGTTAACCAGAATCCTCGCATCTCCTGCATTTGCAAACCATTGCAGAAACCCTACTCTTTATACCGGGAAGATATTACAACATAACTTAAATCACATTGATGCTGAGTTTTGAGAAAATTTAGCTTAAATCCGCTTCCATTGAAAATTACTATTATGGTCACAAAATTGATTACATCTAAAACATCTTTTTATAATACAACGGTATTTAGTCTTAATACGGGGATCTTAATAAGGAGATATTAGACAACAGGATATAACTAGTAAATGGCAATAGGCTCACCTCCTATTACATGGGACTCATAACATAAATAGTAAAAAATTGATGTTACATTGTGTAGTAGTAGCATAATGTGCACCTCTACCTACCCCTTCGAGGATAAAAAACGTGATGTTATGTATGTATGTATGTAGATATAATTAGTTCACCTTTGAAATATTCATATCTAGGTATGGGTTGAAAATGATGAACCTTAAATACAAAACGATGCTACATCTAATCTTCATCATCTATTTACCTCATGTTCTATTAAAAACCCAACTAACAAACACGATACATTAATAGTTTTATTACAGGTAATAAGTATTGGTGCAAGTACGAGAATAGAATACAATTCGAACAATACTATTGTTGTAGAGCCCAGTTCGGCGTGGCGGCAGATCAGCCGCACCATTGCGTTCCACTAATGTTTCGTGCACGCTTGTTACCGATCACTTTGGCACTCATTACGTGTGTGTTCAAAGATTCCATTTACTATTAGCTTTTGCCAGTAGCTTCGTCCGATCCTTCGTCGATTAAAAGTAGCATATACGTTATTCCAGTATTCCAGTCTGTGGACGATGAGCAAGGATAGCTCGCCGCCCGACCAGAACCAGACCCGTGCGAGTCGTGTTCCGCGCGCGCCTCAAAGAGCCATCAGACCACCACGGATGTGGCCCAATAGGGCTAATGCCTGATACGGAGCCGTGGAAGGCCGCTGGGGCTCCGGCTCGAAGAGCAGAGAAGAGTAGGAACGGGGTGGTTTTTAGTCAGTAAGAGTCTGACACTCTCTCCCGCCTCACCCGGGCGGGAGAAGTCATTGGCCGTAATCTATGTCCCTTCCCTTCCCTTCCCTCCCATCCATCCCTTGTTCCAAATGCGTTTCCAATCCCTTCAGCAGTTTTGACGAGGTGTAACAAACAAACAAACATACAAACTTTCGTATTATAATATTAGGATGATTGTAGTTATATATAGGGTTTTTTTCAATAATATAACAAAACAAATATATAACTGTGTAGTGATGACATGGCAGAGTACCTATTTATAGTGCACTAGGAACTATTGCACGGTCTCACCCGCTCTGCTCGGCTCCTTTTGATCGCAGCCTTCCTCAATAAATTCGCTATCCAACACAAAAAGTATTATCGAAATCAGACCAGTAGTTCAAAGTCAAAGTCAAAGCATTTATTTCAATTAAACCATAGTTTGGTACTTTTGAAACGTTAAATACAAAATAAATAAAAGTCTGTCAGTCCGTCCATCATAGTTCCAAATTAGCGCGTTCAAACAGACAAATAAACAAACTCTTCAGCGTTTGCATAATAGTTATTCACCACCACTTCTCCACCCATGAACGTCGTAACAGTCGTCTAAGGAAAATCATATTTAACAGAGACCAGGCTTTTCGTGATCAACATTGTCACTCATCATCATAACATCATAACATAATGCACATTACGGCATTTAATGCCACTGTACAATGTAACACCCACTTTTCACTATTTTTGTTATGAGTCCCATGTAATACCGGGTGAGCCATATACCGGGCACAATTCCAGACACCTTGCTACTACTGAGATTTTTTTTAAACCCAGTATAAGTACTTTGCTCGACCTGGGAATCGAACCCGAGACTCCTTTTTCCGAGTAAAAACTCTTTTTTCGTTAGTTGATTCAAAGGAAAGAAAATTCGAATATACTTGTGAAACAAATATCCACAGTCATAGTGTAGAAGTCAACACTGCTTGACGATGTTCAATTATTTTTGGTTCATCATTGTTGAAACAGCTTGTGCTATGCTTTTGTAAAGTAATAATTATTATGCGCATACTTCATTTTATTTTATACATTATACCTAAACTATTTAGGCTGGTTACAAAAAGAGGAAATACATAAAAAAATAAATTATTATTAATGGTCAAAAAATATTATTCAATCATTAATTAATTAATTAATTATGTAATATTATGTTTTCGGCTTACTCGCGTTACTATATAACGAGGAACTCGACTGGCGCGTTGTCAGCGCGACGCGCCACGTCGTGTGTCGCGGAATGCTGCTCATGAATATGAGCCTCTAGAATCGCTTGAAACAAGTCGAGTTCCTTGTCAAACAATTACGTAAACCGAAAACATAATATTTTTTTAGTATGTCTCACTATAGTTCGTTAGTGTCTCATCGGAGTGATACCATACGCTCTCACAGAAAACCGACGTGAACTAACGCTTGCATTGTGTTTCGTCGTGAGTGAGGTTACCAGAGGCCCAATTACCACCCCCTCTCAATCTCCCCAATCCCTGAATCTCCAACAAACCTTAAATTCCTCATCCCCAAAAGGCCGGTAAGGCACTTGTAATGCATCTGGCGTTCCAGGTGTCCATGGGCGTCGCCGATTGCTTACCATCAGGTGATCCATCTGCTCGTTTACCGGCTTATCCCATAAAAAATGTATATAAACTCTTTTTCATAAATACAAAATTTCACATTGTAAGATTCTCTAAAGAGTTAGGTAAACATATTACATGCTTGCCCTAGCCAATCTGGAAGTCACTGGGGGCTTATATTCAGCAGTAGATGTCTTGATGCTCATAATTAAAATATTGTAGCGTTTTCTATGCTGTCTGTCGACATTATGCTCGACTTCTATTTATATATTTAAGTATTTGACCTTTTACGTCAGATATGGAATAATTATGCATACTAAATGTAATGTGTAGTTCTGGCGTATTAGACTGAACGTTTTAGGAATTAACACCGTAAACTTATATTATGTTAAAAATAATGTTTTTAAATCATTTTCTAACAAAAACTACACATAGTTTCTCGTTGTCGTTCCGCCTTCCTTTGTTCATTAGTAGCCAAAATTACTACGTTAAGTCGTGTGTAAGAAGGCCTAATCTCAAATAGCTCGGAGAATTAATGTCTTAAACAATTTAGAATAAATTAATTTTACGAATGCTATATAAGAAGGTTATCTTCGTAAAGTAGCTGATAAGTGAACCAACTGTATCATCCTTGTAGTCTTAAGAAAAAAGGTTAGTATCTAGTTGTTTTTTAAACTACTTATAGTCAAGCTCGTTGAGTTATTAATGTATAGTTATGTTAATATTTAAGCTAGACTTTCAGGACATAAAGTATTGGTTTTACTTAGGTACGAGTAATTGTGATTGCTTCCTTACCGTTGGTTGACGTTCAATGCTGATTGCAAACAGTCTTTATCTTTGATTTTCGGCATATTTTCGATGGCACTTATACCAAAATTTTAAAACTGGTCGTAAATTATTTTGCAATCATTGAGTATATTGCTCTGAGTTCTCCTTTCTTAACCAAAGTTTGTTTAAGAAAGGAGAACTCAGATAAAAAGATTATTTCGAAATTCTCATATAATGTGGAATAACTTATTAAAATTAATTGGGGTTAAGGTTAACTAAAGTAGCAATGGTTCTCCTTCTAGTATTCAGAAATTTCCACAATTCGAATAAATAATTAACTGTACCTATGATAAGAAAAACTTGCATCACCTGGCCCACACTAATACTTAACCGGTTTTTTGTTTGGGTAATTTAATTACAAAAACCGGTACAAAACGGTCTAATACAGCTCTGAAGCCAGTAATTGTGTGGGTCTATACGCGGTGTGTCATACAAACACCTTTTGTTAGTGATCTAATAATATTCCGTTCGGAAATAAAATTGACGCAGAAATAGTTTTCACGGCTAATCGACTTACTTAGTGCTGGTTACCTACTTCATGATAGTACTATACTACATATAAATTTCGATTACATACCTAAAATCTTAATTTCTATATTCCAGGAATGAGAGCAGATATATCATGAAATTCCTCTTTGCTGTGATACTGCTCTGTATTGTGCACACTGTCTGGGGTGACAATGACATCGAATCCACATTTGGTGACTTTAAAGCATCACCACGACAAGATCTGCCATTCCTAGAACTGGCTAACTACGACGGCTACACAGCTGAACAGCATTTCGTAACGACCGAAGATGGGTATATCTTGAGCGTGTTCCGACTGCCTATACAGAAAAGTTGTGAGACCTCCAAAGGTGTGATAATGTTCATGCACGGCCTCTACCTCAGCGGTGACGACTGTCTTATACCAGGTCCCGGGAAGGCACACTGCTACGTCTACTCCGACAACTGCTACGACGTTTGGGTTCCCAACGTTAGAGGAAACTTCTACAGCAGAAACCATACAACACTGAACCCTAACAAAGACTCAAAATTCTGGGACTTTTCCGTTGATGAGCTGGCCGTCTTAGACCTACCCGCAGTCATAGATTATGTCTTACTTGAAACCGAGGAATCAGAACTATCATACGTGGCGCACTCTCAGGGAGTATCTATGTTGCTAATTCTTTGTGCAACGAAGCCCGAGTACAATGATAAGATAAAGGTTGGGTTTGGATTATCACCTACAGCGTGGTTGGATAACTCGAGGTTCATCGTCATCAAATTCCAGAGTCTTATTGCCCCGGGATTGACACTAACTGGTCCGTTACTAAATGTAGAAGTGTTGCAACGCAATGGTCTTTTGCAGTCTTCTGGGGAGTTATTTTGCGGTACTACTACACTGGCATATCCTATCTGCTCCTTCCTTATCTTCGCCGCACTGGGGTACAATGAGTTTCAGATCACAGCCGATGTTTTACCTGTAGTAGTTGGGCATACTCCTTCAGGAACATCTCTTAAGAATTTTGTCAGATGGGGTCAGATCCAGAACAATGGATTCTCTAAATATGACTATGGAACACTTAAAAATTTAATTACATATAGAACGGCGAAACCCCCGTTATATGACTTGTCTGGTGTGTCAATGCCCTGGGTGTTTTTAGGCAGTGATAACGACTATGTTGCCAATGTCACTGACATAAAGTTCCTTCAGACCAAAATACAGAACAGTTCACTTTGCGTGCTCTCCGATAAGACATTTGGCCATCTTGATTTTATATATGGTAAAGACATTCCTAATTATTTGACTCCAATTGTTTTGTCTTATCTAGATACCGGGAGCTATACGTGTACATGAATAAATAGTTTATTGGACTTGTTTTTATCATATTTTTTTGTGTTTTATTAACTTATCGCTATTGCTATTACCATACGTAATGCAACAGCATGAGTTTAGTTTAACGATATGAACCCAACCACCGCCCGCTGACAAACTGTTTGAAATGAAATATTGCACTATAATATAGAAGAATCATATATTTTACTTTCACGTCCTTGTGACTCTTGACTCTCAGGGTTACTATAACAATGTGTTAACTAAGACTCTTAATATTTCACATCATTATATTCGCGCAAGATCGATATTGAACAAAGAGTTTTTTTTTTTAAGGGGCGAAAATCATCGAGTGACTGCTCCCGCCTGGGTGAGGCGGGAGGGAGTGTCAGACTCTTAGTGACTAAAAACCACCCCGTTCCTTCTCCTGCACGTCGAGCCGGAGCCCCGGTTACCCGTTAGGTTCTCCGCGACTCCGAATCGGCATCAGCCCTGTTGGGCCCCATCTGTGGTGGTCCGATGGCTCTTTGAAGCGTGCGCGGAAAGCGACGCGCCTTGCGCCCGGGTCTGTTTCTGGTCGGACGGGGAGTCACCCATTCCGTTACTGTATTTTCTAACTTTCGCGAATTCTTCGAACCGTTGACGGCGACGTTTTACCAAAAGATACCTTCGCCTAAGAACATAAATTCAGCTCTTTATCTCCTGCCATTTGAACTAGTCATTAACGGTCTTTCCTATCACAAAAAGAATTGAAGTAGCGAAAGCCATAAATAAAATCGATCCTACTATTGAAATTAGTCTATTTCATACAACTAAACTCACCTAGCTACTAAAATGAACATTGCTACATAATTACCGAGAAGACAGTAGGTATACAATAATGTAAGTAAAGACAATATAAAGCTAAGTAAACAATACCAAAAATGCACTTTATCAACAAAAGATAGAGTTTATTTTTAATACTATGTCTGCCACTTGTACTAATAAAGTGAAGGTAAATATTTGTGTCATCTCGAACACGTGTAGCTTGCATTTCTGTGTGCAGAAGTTTTATAATAAGCAGTGGTATCAAAGTATACAGCGTCCATTAAAAGCTCGGACTTGCGCGATAAACTAGGAAAGTTAACTGATATGAAGGAAAAGGGTCTCTAAAGGGGATTCATGTGATATGGATCTGAATATCATGAACTAGCAGCTCCCGCGCGATTTTACCCGCTCTGCTCGGCTCCTATTGAATGTAGTGTGATGTTTTATCGCACTATCAAACCCAAAAAGAATTATTCAAATGGGACCAGTAGTTTCGGAGATTAGCGCAAACAAACAACCTCTTCAGCTTTATACATACATAATATAATAAGTTCCGTAATTTCTGATATTTTTTAATGTGCAGTTCCTAGACCCAAAGATCCCCTTTCGATTGTTGTTTATAATTTAGACTGTTTAGAACATTTACTGTGTAGATGCGATCTATAAAAAATAAGGAATGTACAAAAAACCTTAAAGTTTGTAAAAAAAATTAATAGGTATTAGGTAAATGGGTAACACTAACACCATACTGTTGACAATCTCGCATATTTAATTTCCCACAAAACAATAAGATACATAGTTACCTATATTTATAATCTATAAACTGATTGGCGATATATTAAAGAAGGGCCAAATTAAAAGTACCCTTAACCGACGAGCATGCATGAAAAGATTGATGACTGTTAATGAAGCGAAAGAGGTATGTAAGAATCGTAGTAATTGACGTTCCTTAGTCTCTGCCTACCCCCATGGGAGACAGGCGTGAAGTTATGTATGTATGTAAACTGATCTACTATCATCACACCTAAACTGAATTTAACTTACCACCTTCAAGTTTCACAATAAAGTTAACACAATTATCTAAGCAATATTACCTGGCATACCACCTTATCCATCATACAGGATGACGTCATGAAAATTTGGTGATTCATCCTTCAGTTCTGATACCTTATTATACCGGTGATGGCTTAATAATCTTGCCAATGGAAAATGTTTTAAAGATGTTTGAACAACCTTCTCATTTTAAAGATATCATTACAAAGATCTATATGATATCTGTTTTTTTTTATATTTATTTACAAATCTATGATCATACTTTTTAGGTAGGTACAAAGAATAGTGTATTTACCTAATGTATCTAGTTAAACTGCCTCGTTGGCCGAGTAGTCGCAAGTGTGACTGCCGGGCAAGGGGTCTCGGGTTCGATTCCCGGGTCGGGCAAAGTATTACTGGGTTTTAAAAAATAAATCTCAGTAGTAGCACGGAGTCTGGAATTGTGCCCGGTATATGGCAATAGGCTCACCTATTACATGGGACTCGTAACATAAATAGTGAAAAGTGGGTGTTACATTGTAAAGTAGCATGATGTGCCCCTTCGGGGATAAAAAGCATGATGTTATGTTATGTTATCTAGTTAAAGTTTATGCATAGGTAATTATGTACGTTTGCAAATTGTGTCTTACCTGAGACAGACAGATACTAGATAAGCACTTATTTTGGTAGGTACGTGTTGGCACGTAAATTTCTTCATTTAGTTGTATAGTTTATATTTCGTATGTATTTGTTTGGTTTTTTTATCTATAGAGTTTTAAGTCTGTTTTCTATCTCAATTTTCTATTTATTATTACACAGTGTGTAATTATATCATTATTACTTTTCCTGATCCAGGTCCACAGGAAGAAATTCCAATAGGAATAGGTGGTACCTTTGTACTTTAAATTTATTATATGTGTTGTCCTTTATGTTGTATGTGTGTACATAAATAAATAAATATTTTGAACAAGGACATTGAAAAATCCGGAAATAGTCTCTTGAAACAACGACTGAGGCACCTGGCTACTATAGTCTTACACGCAGAATACACATACATTGACACGAAGGACATGTGTCGTGTGACATGGCCTTTCATTACACTTCATACATTACCTACGGTGTTGCAAGTACACGCACACATAAATACACTACTGACATTTTGGAGCTTCAATCATTTGTAAGTTACATTACGTCCGTCGTTTTTTCAATTGCTTTTATTTTGAAATAGAATCTACTATTGTCTAACTATTATGAAAAGGTAGATTATTAAGTTAATGTGACTACATCACTACACAATATAAAACAAAGTCGCTATCCTCCGTCTGTCTGTCCCTATGTATGCTTAGATCTTTAAAACTACGCAACTGATTTTGATTCGGTTTTTTTAATAGATAGAGTGATTCTCAAAGAAGGTTTATATGTGTAATACATTTTTTTATTTTATTTTTTATTTATTTAACAAAAGTACAATTTTATGATTAACATGTTGTTCTTATAATTAAAGATCCTCGCCAAACCTATCGTTTAACGGCGAGAAGCGCTCATTTCTTATTCTTACTAGCTAATTAAGTACTTTATATAACATTAAAAGAAAATTGAAATCAAAACAAAAATAAAAATAGGGTAAAACCGGGATGGATGCCCCACCTTTTGAAATATGCTTCTAATTTAAAAAATATTGGTTTTACATAAAAAATACCTATGAATGTAACTAGTTTAATCCTTTATGTTTTACTGTGATTGGTCTATTTGGACCTATAAACTTAACATTTTGCAGATTTTAGCTTTTTGTAGACCTCCATTTTTGGGGATAGATGCCTACCCCTATGGATAGTTGCCCCACCTTGAAAATACTAACAAGGATAGATGCCTACGGTGCGGGATAGATGACCTTCATACTATATAAGTGTTTTATGTTAATATTATTTATATATTTTTTGTTTTTATTTTATTTGAAATGAAAAGTATTTTGCAGTTTTTAAAATCTTTTTATTGTCATTGTCATTACAAGATAAATTTTAATAAAAATTATAACAATGAAATTCTAAAAGTATTTGTTCAACAATAATATGTATTTTAAATCCTTATTATTAAATATTAATACCTAATTAAGTTTCAACAAGCAAAATCATAAAAGTCATTCTTCTAAAAAATTAAAATAAATAAAATATCATCATAATATTTAACCGGACAGTGCTTTAATTTTTCCACATCTCGAGCAACTATTTCTGAAAAGTGTACAGGTTTCATGTAACCAGTACTGACACATTACACATTGAATCCAGTCGGATTTAGACTTCGTTTGTTCATAGTTTTCAAAGCATTCTATGCAGTTAATTTATTTGTATTTTAGGCCCATCCTGCCCGTCAATTTTGTGTTCTTTACCAGCAAACTTTTATCCCCATGATTTTTCTGTCCATTTTCTCCATAGCTGGCTGCAATTGTTCTGTAGTCCAAGAACATACTCGAGCTCGCACTCCTTCTTTTATTTTGTATTTTCGTGGCATAGTTCTGCTATAATCAGTAAAAAGACCAAAAACTTAGTCAAAAGTAAATCAATATAAAGTATAAATCGTGCATAAACACATGAAAGATATATAAAAAATATACAAGGTGTTGTTTTAAAGCCGCGTCATTTTCTAGGAGGTAAATCGGCTATCGATTCTGAGTCTGAATCAATAAAAAAAATTGTAGGTAAATATTTTCCATTTTTCTGTAATTTACGGAAATCCGTAATTATTATAGCGCGTAATTATAATAGCTTTATAACGCGGCTTAACACACACAAACTCAAACATGTAATTGATATTATTCCTAATTCCATAAAACTCGAATAAGAAGAATTGCTGCCACTTTTCTGAAATATTGTCCAACTTAAACGATTTATTATAGCCGTATTTTTAACTATTGACCCGAAATTTTCTCTTACATTGAACCTATATGACTTCTGTGACATGCCCCCGAGAAATGACACGACTTCAAAACTACACCTTGTATATTCAAAGCACTTATAATACAATCAGGATATACATGGTGTATGGAGGGATAGACGCCCCTAGGGGCAATTATCCCGTTAAAAATCAGGGCAACTATCCTTTTTGACAGGGATAGCTGCCCAAGTATTTTTTAAATAAATAAAAAAGAAAAAAGCGATTATTTACATCAAAATGTATACTTCATGAAA